GGCTGGCGCCGCGGCCGGCGCGACCAAGGCCAGCCCTCCCGCTGGGGGGGGGGGCGGGTCACGCCCGGCTGCAGCACTGGCGAGGCTGGCGCCTGGCGGGTCAGGAAGCGCCCGGCGACGCCACTCCGAGAGAGCACTCTCTCCCCGCGCGCTGCCCCAGCCACGGCGGAACTTGCCCTCAGCGTTCGTTGCGCCAGCATGCCGCAGCCCGCGGCGGGACGGCTCGTCAGCCACGTTCCTCTCGCTGGGCACCCATCGCAGACAGAGCTGGATGTCCCGCAGCAGGAGGAGGGGGGCCAGCTGGCGGGCGACGCGGCACTAACCTGGCGCACTCGACCTTCCCTTTTGAGCCGAGAGCAGTGCACCCATGGAGTCCGTGAGAACGAGGACCCGCTTCTGGATGTACTCGCGAGTCTTTGCGACCCTCCTGAGGACTCCCACCAGGGCCCGACCTTCGAGACAGGTGATGTGCTCACTACGCTCCCAAGCCTTACTACTGACCGTGTGCCACTTAGCGTGCAGCAAGCTAGTGTGAAGCCCAGGAACAGGAGGCACTCTTCGAAGGGAACCTTCATGTGCCCCGGCATCATCATCACCCCCTTCTTCCAGTACTGCCCGTGGATCAGCGCGACCTCCACCCAAGAAGTGCCAGCGATCTGAATGCCTGCTGACCTCATCCAGCACCTCAGCGAGCGGCCGCGCCGCGCATATCCCAAAACCCCACGGCGACGCATCACACGTATAGGCCCTCGGTCCCCACGGCTTGGTGAGGTCGCACTCGGGCAACGGAAGCAACGCCTGAGCCCGGCGGAGTTCTCTCAGCACCGCGGGCCACAGCTTCGAGGGGCTATCGGGGTTCTTCTCTATGAATACATACACGGCACGAAAGCATGACAGCAACTCCCGACGAAGCATTGCCAAATGGGTAATATGTCCCAAGAGCTTCCGAAGCGTCCTACCAGAACATCGACGGCGCCTCAAGAGGAACTCCAAAGCCATCCACACCCTCCATCTCCTTTCATGTCGTGGTAAAATTCGACCATCTCCCGAGACGCTGAGCCCCGGTAGATCTCCCCCGATTCCGACTACATCGACCTCGTGAGCCTCCAGACCGGCACTCCGAACAGCCCCCAGGGATCGCTGTGTGAGATCGCGACAAACATCAGGGGAGCTCGAGAAGACGCCCACGTTGTCCACATATACCGACACGCACCCATTTTTCAGATCACCAACTGGCCGATGATCCTGTAGAAGATGCGAGCTTGCAAATGCCTGGCTCAAAATCCTCTCGTGACTTGTCTGGCGCCAGTACAGCGCGTGGACCCAACCCATCGGCATGACAGTAAGTCGAGGTCGCACACTCCCTCCAGTGCTCGGAATGTCGGGGAGCAGCCGCTTCATCCACTTAGCCTTGATGGGGGGCAGATGGAAAAATATCTGCAACTCGGGGGGTGTTCCAAACTGAAAGAAAGCATCCTTTAAACCGTACTGACCTACATGCAGCTGCTCTCCGGCCTCGAACCTTAATCTGGATGAAGCGCCCGACGTGGGCAGCTCGACATGGTCACTACTCGTGAAAAAGCAATTGGACTGCCGGCAATCGGCAATCAGGCGCAGGGCACCGCTCCTCTTGCGCACAGTAAGAAGGCCTACGCAAGCATCACCTTCCTCGCGCACAAACTCAACCATGTTCCTGAGACGCAGCATCTGAAGCACGCGTGCATATCGGCGCGCAGACCTGCGAAGACCAGGGTCATGATAAATCTCCATCTTACTCGCTTCGAAGCTGTGCATGCCTACCGAGTTTGGCAGCACATGCTCGCACATCCACGCCTGGACTTCCTCGCGACCTTTGGAGCCCAAAAGCTGACATATATCAGTTGGGGCCGCCCCTTCCGGCCTAAGCGACAGCAGAGACTCGCCCAGGGGAACTGCTGGCGAACTTTCACCAGAGTAGTCACACCCACCGCTGATGCTCGAAAAAGCATCGGCCGGCTGAACATCGGCGGGGGGGATGCCCATCCTACTGCAACGTTCCCGGAGGTGCCCCATGCTGCCCCCGCCCAGAGACGATGCAGCACCCGCAGGACAGCACGGAGCACCACCCAGGTACATTTCTGTAAGGGCGGAGGCGGCGTCGTGACTAAGCCGATTCAACCATTGCTTGGACGAGACTGGAAGACTGCTCAGCCCAGGCGGCCGCCTAGTCGCGCAGATCGAGGAATCTGACCTCGATGCTTTTACCCGATGCTTTAAAAGTTTCCGAGGCTCCGCCGACGAAAACAGCCGACTCGACTTTGCACCCGAATTCGTCGCTCCCGTGAGCGATGGATGGCCTGCACGCAGCGCTGGCCGCCGGATGAGGCCGTCTCCGACGGCCCCGCGTGTGCTCATTGCTCGCTGCCCCCACGGACACGACCACCTCCGTCTGGGGGCTGACGAAGGAGGGCTCTTTCTTCTCGAGCTTGCCTGGCTTGCTTCTGGGACTGCGACTTCTTCTCTAACTCCTCACTCACGTGCCCGATGAGCATCGGGGCACAGCACACCGTGGGATTGACGGGCTGCCGCCCGATCATGTCCATCTCGTCATTCGTGATGACGGCCGACCCAGCGACAGAGGAAGAGGCGCCAGCGGATCCGCCGCGCTCTCCTCCTCGAACCTTCCCTGCGTACTGGTACTCTATGGTCCGGAGCTGGCGTGCGATTTCCCTAATCACCACCGAGTCCGACAGGTCGAGCTGATCCACATCCGTCGTCCACTGCTCGACCTGGTTCCTCGCCACCTTCTCTATCAAGAGCACGCGCAGCCCAGCGCAAGCGATGCCGCGCTTCTCGGCAAACACCTCCAGCCGTCCTGGGCCCTCGTCATCGACCGTTAAGACGGCGTCCGACTCCGCGAGCTGCCAGACCTCAGGTTCAGCCCCTGGCGGAGCCACTCCACGGCCAGCCAGTGTCACCAGATCCTGCGCCTCCGCAAGCCGCTCGCGCAGCGCGGCCTGCTCAGGTTCAGCACCAGCTCTGAAATTGTAGAAGTGGGCACCCTGCTGGCTCGGTGGAATGCTGCCGTCTGTCTTGAGAGCCAGCACACCCGTGATGTCGCCGTTGCTGGGGCCGTAGTCCTCCTCATACAGGTCCTGGCCGGGTGTACATATGATCCACCTTGTGCTCTCGGCACGCGCGAGCCTGATGTGAACGTGCCAGAGGCCATCATCATGATGCACCAGCAACTCTCGCCCCCGGGCCAACGACGATGACACCGCCGCCAGCCCCACCGCTCCTGCCAGCCCGGCTACTGCCACTAGCTGCGCCATCGGTCTGGATGACCACCCGCCTGGAACTCCGACCGAGCAGCCACGACCACGGTGAGCTCCCACCACGAAGGCCGATGCGACGAAGCCGGCGTGCAGCATGAAGCTGAACTCGTATCACGCCCTGCCGCTCGTCGGGCCTGCCAGCTGCTGGGAGACCACGCGCACGAGATGGGGCACTCTCCACTTGCTTCGCCTGAAACGACGCAATGGCAGCACAAGGTGATCACGCTTCCTCCACCTCTGGTCTCGAAAAGAGATGGTACAATCCCGATTGAGATTACGTGTGAGTGTGTACGCAGCAGAGGCTCTACCTGCAAGTGTTTCCAGGGAGCCCCCCCTTTGAGCAACACACGCTGCAGAGAGCAACGTCGGCTGACGCAAGACGTGCGCGCACTAGTATGATGATGATGTCGATGATGAGGATGATCATGATGATGATGGTGTCCCGATGATGATGATGATGATGATGATGATGATGATGATGATGATGATGATGATGATGATGATGATGATGATGATGATGGTGATGGTGATGGTGATGGTGATGATGATGATGATGATGATGATGATGATGATTGTGATGATGGTGATGATGATGATGATGATGATGATGGTGGTGTCCCAATGATGTTGATGACCGTGATGATGATGATGATGATGATGATGATGATGATGATGATGATGATGATGATGATGATTGTGATGATGATGATGATGCTGATGATGATGATGATGATAAAGATGGTGATCATGATGGTGTCCCGATGATGATGATGCTGATGATGATGATGGCGATGACTGTGTCCAGATGCTGCTGATGATGATGTTGATGATGATGATGATGATGATGATGATAATGATGATTGTGATGATGGTGATGATGATGATGATGATGATGATGATGATGGTGGTGTCCCAATGATGTTGATGACCGTGATGATGATGTTGGTGTTGATGATGAGGACGGTGTCCCGATTATGATGGTGTTGGTGATGATGATGTTGATGTTGATGTTGTTGTTGATGATGATGATGATGACGTTGATTGTGATAGCGGTTGTGATATCGATAGTGAGATCGATAGTGAGACCGAATGTGATATCGATTGAGAGATCGATTGTGAGATCGATTGTGAGATCGATAGTCAGATCAATTGTGAGATAGATCGAGTGAGATCGATTGTGAGATCGATCGAGGGAGATCGATCGAGCGAGACCGATACTGAGATCGATAGTGAAATCGACAGTGAGACCGATCGAGTGAGACGTTGGTTCCCCCCCCCCGAACCTCCTTATCACCCGAAGGGTGGTCGTATAGGTAAGAATAAACAAACAGAAGAAGAAGAAAAATAAGAAGAATAAGAAGAAGAAGAAGAAGAAGAAGAAGAAGAAGAAGAAGAAGGATAATAAGCCTCGGCGTTGTGCTGCATGCTTGCAGGAGGAGGAGGGGGAGGAGGAAGAGGAGGAGGGCGACGACCACCACCACCACGACGAGGGGGCGAGGGGGAGGGCAGAGAGGGAGAGGGGGAAGGGGAAGACAGAGGGATGGAGGGGCGAGGAGGGAAGCGCGAGGAGCTGGAGGGGATGAGGAGGCAGGGGGGGGAGAAGGGACCAGGGAGAGAGGGAGGGAGAGAGAACGAGAGGGAGGGAAAGGGAAAGCCGCCGCCCGCCCCGCTGTATAGGCCCGCCGCCCCGTGCCGCGCGGCAGGTGCGCGGCCACGATCTCACGGCAGCGGCTCGAGCTCTTGCCTGCCGCGGGCGGAAAGCTGCACGAGCGAGCGCACGAACGCCGGGGCCGCGCGCGCGCCGCTGGGGCGCGTCGCCGGCGAGGTGGGCGGAGAGGGCCAGGAGGAGGACGAGGACGAGGAGGCGGCGGAAGGAGGAGGAGGAGGAAGAGGAGGAGGAAAAGGAGGAGGAAGAGGAGGAGGAGGAGGAGGAGGAGAGGGAGGAGGAGGAGGGGGAGAAGGAGGAGGAGGAGGAGGAGGAGGAGGAGGAGGAGGACAAGACAAGACAAGACAAGACAAGACAAGACAAGACAAGACAAGTCAAGACAAGACAAGACAAGACAAAACAAGACAAGACAAGACAAGACAAGACAAGACAAGACAAGACAAGACAAGACAAGCCAAGCCAAGCCAAGACAAGACAAAACAAGACAAGACAAAACAATACCACTTGCGAGCCATAGCTTCGCGTCTGAAGCCCTACGGGAAAATCGACGACCTGCAATATGGAGTGGCTCTGTGTTGCGCCTGAGAACGCCTACCAGCGGCTTCGCTGGGGAACTCCTCTGGCTTAAAGATGTACGACCGTTGGGGGGAGCCTTTAGGCCGCCCTCCAGAAGCACCAGTCCCCAGGCTAGCAATAGGAAGCGAGTCATGAAATCGCTATCCTGCAGTATTTCCCTACTCCGTGGGATCGGGATTCGGGAGGGCAGAGGGGGCCAGGACCAGGAAGGGCGAAGGGGAATCAACGGAGGCGAGGGGGAGATCAGTGGCAAGGGATTGATCTCTAGCAACTCTACTTTGCAAGTTCTCCGAAGCAAATTTGGTTTTGACGGCTTCGCCCGAAACATGAAACATCAAAAACATCTCTCACCTACAATGTATATCAGAACGGGTTCGGCGGATCTACTCTGCAAGCGAGTCAATATATAATTGATCAGCTGCCCCTGCTGCAACATACTCGTCAATCTCCCCGAGCCCGCAATAGACTGCAGCCGAGATCTCAGATCTCAAAAATCAGATTCGGCCTCCTTGGCCTTGCCCCTCTTCTGTTTCTTCTTGGAGTCCCTGACCTGCTCCTGAACGTTCTGGCTGCGGATGCCTATCTTCGCGAGAAGAATCTCCGCGTCTCGCTCGAGCGCTCCCCGAGGAGCTCCGCCGGCCTTGAACTTGCCTCCCAGGTACAACATGAGGTGGCACAATGCGTCGTGGAGCGGCATGATATCCTTGGCTTCGCTGTCCCTCACGCACACCACCTGCTGCAGCGCCGAGACCATGAACTGCACGTTGTACATGTGGTGGCCGTCGTGCTTCTGCTTGTCACAACAGAGAAGGCCTGACCCTGAATCATTTGTTGATACGGCTCTGCAACATCAGGAGCCCATCCTCCTTGCTCTTCTTGACGGCCACGTTCCAGTGCGAGGTCAGAACCTCTCTGGGCCCCCCGGGGAGGCTGGCGTCCTTCGATGTCACAACATTATGATGACGATCGCTGCCGTAGCCCGCCCCCGCCTGCTTGAGGATGGCCGCGATTGCCGCCGTAGAGGGGGGCAAGAAGCAGATGTAGTTGGCGCCGATAAGCTCCGCCAGCTCGCGACCGCTGCCGAGGCACAGCTTCGCAAAGATGGTGATGGGCGCCGCCGGCGGGCCCGCCTTGCCTCCAGCGGCGTCGCTCTCGACCAGGTTATGGAGCCCCTGGAGCTCGCTGCCCTTCTCGCCCTCCTTGTCTGGCACGTCGCCGTCGGGGGCCCTGCGCGTGATCTCGAGCCAGTCGGGCGCCGCCTCGACCTCCATCGTCGACAAGCGGAAGCGCATGAAAGCGCGACCGAAGGTGAACTTGGAGCTCAGCTGCATTGCGAACTCGAGCCTGGCATAATGGGCAACAGTATGACCTGTGATAGCACTGCTCGGAAACCGCGATGAGAATGAAGATGCGCGAATAGTCGTCGACGATTGTGGAACGCGCTGGCGCGGCCTCGCACCGCGCGCTTACGTTCGCCTTCCGCGTCCTGGCCCTGGGTCTTGGCGCCATTACCCTGGGGGGCAGTGTCATAGCCAGGTGGGGGGGATTCTTATACTGAGCCAGTGAGCCCAAGGCTTTCTCGTATCAAACTGCGTAAACCATTCGATTAAGTCAGCATGTTGAAATGGATTGAGCGGCGCACTGTCAAAGTCGGCGATAATTTCGCGCTCTTCGCCCCCTAAGTCGGCGAGCGAGTTGATGTCCGATGCGAAACGATGGGACAATGGACAGGCCGCACTGGTAAGTTGCCCCTGGTGGTCGATGATGCGAAGCTGATTTTCGGTTTCGATTCGCGCGCGGCCGAACAGGGCCCCCCATTTACAAATATGCCTATCAGGTGCCGAAACCCAAGCCAGATGCCACTTCATGCGTCGAGACCTCGCCTCCACTTCCACGGGCGCGAAGCGCCAGAATCTGAATGCCTGGGAGTTGGGGAGGGAGCCCGGGTGTTCACCCCCCATCAGTAGCGGCGGCTGCTCCTCTCATGACCCTGCGAGCACACAATAAGACCCGCGTCTGGAGCTTCTCAACCCGCGCAGCAGCGGGAGCGAAGATCTCGATTCCTGACAGAGCGGGGCCAAGAACACGACTGGGGAAGACTGCCCTTTTCTCGACTGGCGGCAACTTCGGCTGGCACCAGTAGCGACCCACACCAGCATTGCCTGAGTCAACTGCCGCAAGCCGGCACGGCCACTCGCTCTGAAAAGTGAAACCGGCCCGAAGAATACCTCCAAGCAGCCGTGCACGATCATTAACTTTACCAGCAGCTGCTAATTGACCTGTGCGAAATCTATGAAGAACATGCTACCTGCTCAGAATGCTGCTACGACTGCTTCGTGTTGGTAGGACGTGCCCTGTAATTGTGCTCGTACATGTGCATGCTAAGTATGTGATCGTACTTCACGGACTTGTTACTTAGTTCAATGCCCGCGTCGAAATCACCCCCCTCCCCCGCTGAGACAAGTACTGTAGTGGCGTCATCTACGTAGCTATGAAGGCTGAGACCTAGTTCGATCGGAGAGTCGAGGTTCGGGATGTCCACGATGGACCAGCTGGAATATCTCCAGACTGCCTGAACAACTCCTGGATCTCCTCTAACACAGCACCCACGTCCCCGGCGAAAACTTTGACTGCCCAAAGACACCCCTGCAAGGCCCCGACCCCGGGACGTGCGAAAATAATTCCATCGGGCCCCTTTGAAACACACCGCTGCACGTCGAAATCGTCGCCCTCCAAATCTAGCTTCGAGATCTCGCGTGATAATTCGGTTTGCCTCAGAGAGCGCCGAAAAAGATGCCCTGCCGATTGCGTTCGCCAGGCCCTTGTTTCTCTCAGAAACGAGAGTGTCAAAGACGCCATCCAAGGGATTGCTGTACCATTATGCGTGTTTCCCTCCTGCGTCGGGCTACACATCCGCGGGAAAATGAGGCTCGATGTTACGCTGGGCCGGAGAAAGACACGATGAGACGAACGCTTTACCGAAGGGGCATAGTACACGAATAACTCGCTTGTGCGCAATAGGCACGCCATCTGAGAGATCCCAAACCAGCGGCGCGCCGGAAGTTCTGTAGATCTCGCGCATCATGCATTTAAGGGAAAACACGTGCATTGCGCAAATCCATATCAGGAGCTTCGTATCCCAGGCCTCGATACTTTTTTGAAGTACGCCGATAAGGGCGAAACAACATCCGAAACACAAAAATACAAACAAGCAAAACTTCCAGCGGCAGCGACCACGGTGGGGAAACTCTGCATTTCGCTGTTGCGCGGAAGTGTTGAGCAACAATAGCGACATGATATCACTGGATTCAACTCCACCCTCACCATACAAATACTGATCAACATGTGAGTGCCGGCCAAGAATCTCAGCATCCATGTCATCTTCACCAGAACTGAAGTGAAATCGCTGCTTAAGGTCTTCGGCTGTCGGAAGAACGCTAACTGCTCTACGAGAATTGCGACGACGAGGTCCAGTGCCACGAGCAGGAAGCAACCGAGATACACGTGCTACTTCAGCTTTTTGTCCAAATCGATCAGTCTGCTCAAGTTCATGCGTGAGTTCTTCGCGCCATTCACGAACATGTTGGCGTCGCATACGCCGAAGAGAGTTGCTCATTCACTTGATTTGTTGAGTGAGAGAAGCCTCTAACTTGGGATCTGAATCCACGAATTGCAATCGAACTGCGCGTCGAGCTCGAATGCATCCAAGAACGTGCTGTACTCGCTGATGATGCCCTGGGCGCGGTTCAGGTGCTTTAGTAAAAACTGCCTGCCCTCTTCGCCAACAGTCTCAAGAAATAATCCCCGTTCAGCATTCGGTGTCTGCTCTTCACGACGTAGTTGGGCAAATCGGTCTTCCTCATGTGCCATGCGACGCTCAACTGCTTGTAGGAAATCGGCTCGATTAGTGCCACGCCTGAGGGGGCCCATCAAATATTCACGACGATGCCAAGGAATAGCCTGCGAATAAAAACCAACGCGACGATCTTCGTCAATCCGGCTAGATACTCCAATAGCGTCAGCAAGTGAGTAGCGGACTGGTATGTGATCACGCGGTAGCCGAGATCCAATCAGTTATAATTCGCGCGCAAGGCGTCGTAGTGGTCCAACGGTCGCCGTAGATGTTAGCATACATCGCGGCACTAGGATGTAATCGAAGTGCGAACCATTACCAAAATTACCGTAGTATGTAGCACCGGCTCCTTGAAACGTGCTGAGAGCAATCATGTCGAGATCTCCCATAAATTTGCGTAGAACAACTGCTGCGTATATTTGTCGAACTTGCGATATCTGGTCACCAATGTATTTAGATTCAATGGGACCCCATGTTTCAGAACCCTCTCGTCGTTGAAATCCAAATCCTGAATGAAGATCATCGATGTGCAGCCCATATAGGTAAGCCACGCAGCCAATTAATGATCATGTCCCAAGTTTTTTGGCAAGCTCGAACTTGATTGGCGTAGTGAGGACGAGGCGGAACATACACACTGCAAATACCAAAA